CTATTTATTTAATTTCAGAGAGCCTACTGGCAAGTTGTAAATTATAAATATATAAAGTACAATATTATTTTTTTAATATAGAAGAAATCTATCTATTAATTCGATTGCATAAATAAATATTGAAAGAATTGTGACAAGAAGTGATTTAAATTCTTTGTGCGTTTTGTATTTTTAGTTCAAGGAAGTTTATTCTGTCGCAATTTCTAAGTCGAATGCGTAAATCGAACTTATGAAAGACTAAAGGTTGGTGTTTAGATGAAGTTTGTGGAAGAAATGATGGTCTTAGGGTTTTATGGCATATGGAAAAAAATGCAAATTTATTAAGGTATAATTTCTATGAACGTGGTTTTTGGGTATTTATTGTATTATAGGTGGTGTACACAAAAAATTGAAAAAATACCCCTCCTGGCTGTGAAACACTAAAGGATGATGTTTAGATAGATTTTGTGAAAGAATTAAGAGCTTTAGGGTTTTTTGGTATAGGAAAAAATGTTGAAAATTTAGTTAGGTATAAATCATTATCCATGTAGTTTTGGGGTAGTTTTTGTAATTTAGGTAGCATATACACAATCAGAGAAAATGTACCCCTCTTGGCTATGAAAGCCATAATATTAACATAAAATACACTTTGCACATGGACATTTTGTGAGGTTTTAAATTTTAATTTTAAATTTATAAAATTTTGCATAAAACATAAGATAAATAATATTATCATATTGTTATTATAAAAATGAATGAAATAAATCAGCAAAGTTTACAAAAAAACATTCAAAAGAAACCATAAAAATTCTGGTTCATTTTTTCACTTGTTTACGAATATCTTAATATGTTTGTTGGAATATATAAAAATTATTATAAATCATCAAAAAGGTGATGAAATTCTACATATATATATATATATATATATATATATATATATATATATATATCATAAATTCGATGACTTCTCAAAGTCATTCAACGTTGACAGCTAATATGACTCTAATTTGAATTATTTATTCATTTTAGAATACCCAATTAGATTCGAATCAGATTTGCATAACGCCAATATATATCACCTCTATATATATATATATATATATATATATATATATATAATATCCAAATGTATATTAATAAATATTAACATTTTTTTATTTTTTTTTTCAGATGTTTTATCAGATCTTCTTAAGGTGAGTTAATTTATATATTATCTTATAATCATTAATTAACAACCTATGTTTTATTTATTTATTTTTTTTATAATTCTTATAATGAATTAATGATGGATTTTTGATTCGTAACATAAGCTACGAATAAAAAAAAGGGCGCGTAAGGTTCACACTTAATAAGGTTCAATTCGCGTAAGGCGATTGAAGTGAAACTTATTTGCTACTGTACATTATGGCATTTAAGTAAAAATAAATATACCATATAACAATTTTGAATAATGTTTATTAGTAATGTGGAAACACTCGTGATGCCCACATTTATTAGTGTCGACCATTATACACATTTATATAATGATAAATTATATTATATATTATATATTTATAATATCATTACAAATATGAATAATATTTAAACATAATAATTAAAGTCATACTTCAAATATGACATGATCGGTTGGTCATTGTAATTAGCATTTAGATATGAACCTTCATTAGAGAAATGAAGTAATTGCTGATTAATAAATTCTTTAATATTCGTTCACACAGTGGATTATGTTAAACAACGCCTAAACAAATATTGTTTTCGCAACTTCACTCATCATGCAATTATGTTTGAATTACTTCATGTAATTAAAATTAACATACATTCATTGACTGCTTGTATTTTTGTTACTTTTTTGCTGGCGATATAATCTCATTCTTTAAATACCTGTAATATCTGTCTTGCCTAAAAATATTTTACATTTTAATAATTTCAAAGATTTATAGAAACTACGAATAATATATAAATAATTTCTAATAAATAAACTTACGTTTAGTACACGGCACAAATGTTTTATTATTTTTAAGAAACAAGGTAAAATATTCTTCTGATTCAGGCATTTTTCATTAAATCAAGATTTGTACTACGATGTAACTTTAAAATTTTTATTTATCTATGCCGATTTCCTTGTTGATATCGGTACGCATACAACGTTGAGGCCGGTACGCATACAACGACAGATCTCTATTCACATACACGACGTCTAATCACAATCGACTCGTATAGAAATGGTTTCATCGAGAGCGAATGACGAATCATTGGCACTTGACTCGGCCGTAACGCACTTCCGCACGCATTTGTATGAATTTACACCCTAGTCACGCCTAAAGAAGTTTTACTTCAATTATTGCACCAGAAATTTAAAATAAGTTTCATGTTTTATTCGAGGTTATACTTCTTCCTTTATATTTTTTATATAATTATTTATCGATTTTAATATTTGTAATTTAAATTTAGGATTTTTAAAATATTGTGCATAAATATATAAATGCATAAAATAAACATAAATGTGCATAAAAATATTTACATCAACTCTTCATATATTTAAAATAATGTTTCCATTACTATGAATAACAATTTGATCGGTTCATACATAAAAAAGTTGAAAAAGATATATCTGTCAGAATGATTTGTAGTTTTATTGTTGAACAATTCAATTTGTAGATGATAGTCTTTTTAGAATTTATTGTATATATATATATATATATATATATCTAATTTGCTTTGTCATTTAATATTTTTTATTCGGTATTCATTTACATATAAGGAATCACTTACATTTAATTTCTTTTGAAGCAAAGCAAAAAGCAATGAATGAAGCAATGGTGTTTTTTTTAATTCTTTGATAACATTTTTAATTTGAAATTTATTTTTGTATATGAGGAATTGAAGTAAAATTTTGGAATTATTAAATTAACTAGTGGTGTATGGCATCGTGCCTTAAGGCAAATTGCTGGAACTTTGCGTACCCTAAAGAAATATTCGAGGAATATTACATATTTTCAAATAGATTATTATAAATGCTGTAACTTTATATTCGTATTTTATAGACTAAATATAAGAGCTTATGAATAATACAACCACGTTTATATATTTTCACATGAAAAGTAAATAAACTTAATCAAGCGGAGTTAGAATGAAGGATCTTATCTCATATTTCTAAGATTTATATAAACTGAATTGCAAAGTTAAAATTGTTTATTTTAAGTATATAAGTGAGCTCCTGAATTTTAGATCGAATTAAAATTAAAATCTGAATATATAAAAAAATTAGAAAAAAAATATTTTTGAAATATTTTTTTTTTCAAAAGTAATTGTTTCGTCAACACAAGCAGAAAGTTTTTTGAATCAATCAAATCGGATGCTTCGTTCTCTCAAAATCTCGATTTCTATTTCCTGCATTCTTTGCTCCGTATCTCCGAAACGGCTGGGCCTGTCTTTGCCAGAAACTAATCACCACATCTCCCTATCAATAGGAATCAAATGTTTCTCGAATCATTCAAATCAAATGTTTAATTTACTACAAAACTACAATTTTTTGCACATCGACTGGACTTGCCTTTGGCAGAAACTAATCGCCACTTCTCCCAATCATTACGAATTGAATGTTTTTTGAATCATTGAAATCTAATGCTTCGTTCTCTCAAAACCTCGATTTCTATTTTCTGCACTCTTTGCTCCGTATCTCCGAAATGATTGGACATGTCTTTGCCAAGAACTCATCAGCACATCTCCTTATCAATAGGAATCAAATGTTTTTCAAATCATTCAAATCAAATGCTTTAATTCACTACAAAACTACCATTTTTTGCACATCTAACTCCAAAAACGACTACACCTGCCTTTGCCAAGAACTAATCAGCACATCTCCTTATCAATAGGAATCAAATGTTTTTTGAATCATTTAAATCGAATGCTCAGTACTCTCAAAAACTACATTTTTTTGCATATTTAATTCCGTATCCCCAAAATGGCTGGGCCTGTCTTTGTCAGAAACTAATCAGCACTTCTCCCAATCATTACAAATTGAATGCTTTTTGAATTATTCAAATCTGACGCTCCGTGCTCTCAAAAACTCGATTTCTATTTTCTGCACTCTTTGCTCCGTATCTCCGTAATGGCTGGACCTGCCTTTGCCAAAAACTAATCAGCACGTCTCCTTATCAATAAAAATCGAATATTTTTTGAATCATTTTAAATATACTTACATACACCCACGCACACATACACACATCGATTTTTTTAAGGTATGCCAAAATGTTCAGAAACTTTTAAAACGTGAAAATATGCAAAAAATGTCTTTTTCGATTTTTGCACGATTACTATAACTTACCCTACGCAAAGTTAATGCGGTAATTAATAAGTTGAAATGACTAATGAGATAATTAACAAGATATTTTTATAATTGTTTTTAATTTCAAACAGAATTTCTTCCATATTATGCAATCTAAAAATATCATATAAATTCCTAATTGCTCTCGAAGATTATTCACGTCTACATTTTTTTATCCATTACATCGTTTTCTCTTCAATTAAATAACATGCAAAGCGCACACGAAAGAAGAATCATCTTCTTTCTTCTTTCTTCTTCACTTTCACTTTTCACTGAAGAGTACTTTCTTCATGCTTCAGTAGAAGATAAAACTTTCCCGTCATCTGGCGGGATAATTTGAATTAAAGTTTAGACCAGGCGCAAACAATTGGGTTTAAATTATTGCTTAATTTGTGTGTTTATTTGTTTTATTTCTTGTAACTTTTGAACCATTCGATTAATATGAATGGTGGGTTCAGGAAATTTGGACAAAAATACATTAAATTACTCTACAGCAACTTGGTATACTTTAAAATCGCATTAGAATTATAGAATTTAAATTAAAACCACATAGTTTTATCAAAATTTTTAGAATTTATTCATTATATCCCTTGTAACTTTTAAACAATTCGATTAATATGGATGATGCATTTGGTAAATTTGTACAAAATTAAATAATTTACAATATTGTCCAACAACATAAAGCTCTCAGGCAACTCAGTATACTTTAAAATTGCGATAAAAATTGCACAACTTTATACAATATACATGTATTTTTATATTTTGGACTCATCGTTGTTGCCTCCACTAATCCTAATGGGTCCTTTCAGTCTGAAAATAAATAAATAAATAGATAAATAAACAAATCAATAAATAAATAAATTATTAAATTACTTGTCCCAATAATTTTCTGGAAGTTCAGCACTAGCTTTTGAAGGAATATTCATTCTTGATTTATTTCCTGGCCTTTCCTCGGCTTCATATGCTTCATTAACAGCACCTTCTGTAATTTTTTTTAATTTAAAAATATATCTTGAGTAAATTTTAGACAAGGTCCTACACTAATATATATCCAAGAGACAAGAAATACTAAAGCAGTAGGTAAAATACTGAGAGATCTGATATTGGTTACCAATCTGTTTTCACAATTATTTCTAAACCCTCAGTGCCCAAATAAAACCCAAATGTCAGCTATTTTTTCTTATACTGTGATAAGTGAACTTTCAGTGCACTTATTAAACCCAAAAATCTCTACCTGTTAGTCTTAGAATTCAAGCAAGTCATATCCGACGTCCTCGACCCATGGTTAGGTATCAATATGTCTTTCAAAGTATTTTTAAACTCTCAGTGCACTTGTTAAACCCAAAAATCTTTACCTCTCAGTATTAGAATTCACGCAATACATCTCATCCGAGGTCCTTGATCCATTGTTAGATACCAATATGTCTTCCAAAACCCTCAGTGCACAAATAAAACCCAAATATCAACTCATTTTTCTCTTACAGTCATAAATAAACTCTCAGTGCACTTGTTAAACCCAAAAATCTCTACCTCATAGTATTAGAATTCAAGCAATACGTCTCATCCGACGTCCTTGATCCATGGTTAGATACCAATATGTCTTAAAACCCAAAAATCAGAGTATATCTATTAAATTTAAAACTAAACCCTCAGTGCACAAATAAATCCAAAAAACAATCAATTATCCCCTTACTGTTAGAATTAGACCAATCTGTCTCATCAGAAGTCCTCGATCCGTAAGTTGGTGGCGGCCCAACACTGCCAATGGATGAATGTTGATAGTTTTGGTTCCTTCTTTCAACGGACTCCTCAAAAAATCCAGGAACAACCTGGTGAGGATCTTCGTACAAGGACGAATCGCTGGAACGCTTTTTACCAGGGTCTAAACCTAAATCGTAGGCTGCTGGTGAACGGTAGGTCGAGGATAAGGAGTTGCTGTTGCTGCCAACGCTGAGGAAAAAATTGGATGAAGGTCTAGATATCTGCCAAATTGCAACAAGACTTCCTAAAGCTTTAATCTAAAGATGATATCAAATGGACGTCATACCTTGCATAATCTTTCGAAATCGAAGTCCTCCAAATCCAATAAAGAATGCCCAAAAATGCCACCAGCACAATGCTTAAAGTTCCTAAGGTCACTCCCATCCACAAAGACAGATAATACGATTCATCAGGGTCATCATAGACCTTAAAAGCAAAAAGCAAATCTATAAAATCAAAATCTGTCTAATAATTCAAGATGTACCAACCTTGTAATTCAACTTCTTCAACTCGGTTTTTGAAAAACCGTTCCACAATTTTATTAAATTGATTTCTGACAGCTCATAATTGGGATTTGACGCGTTGGCATCTTTGGCGTCATTTTGCAGCTCTATTGGTATTGAAAATCGTATCTGGACACAGTTGTCTGTATTGGGCCAATATCTTGGACAATAAGTTATTAGATTCATCACTATATTGTTTTCCCTAAAAAAGATAAAAGAAATATCTGAAAATAGTTTTGGACACCTATATCTGGTCCCTCATCATGATTTAAATAATAACGTTCTGCACAAGAATATTAATTTTAACAAGTATTTATCGAAATTCCAAGTTTTATGAATCAGCATCAATTCTACGTACGTGATAGGATCCTTGGATGTGATGTTGCGGTCATTGCAGAAAGTTTTTGTAAACTCTGACAGAACTGTGGTGAAGTTCTTGAGGTTTTTATGAAAGTCTTGAGGATTCGAGCCTAATAGATTTACCAGAATGTCTGGACGAGCCCCTCCTGGTGCTGAAGTGGGCAAAGGCTGGGTTGTTGTGGTTGGTGCTTGTGTTGTTGTTAACTCACCTAAAATAGAATTGAATTTATAACTATATTAGTATATGTCAACATCCATAAATACTGATAGACTTTTGAAACTTCCACATTGGATAAGATGGTGACAACAATTTTAAAACTACCCTTACCATGTCTCTGATACTGCATCTGGAACCCCTTGAACGTCCCCCCCGCCTTAACATTTTTAGCAACAAACAGCACAAACAACTCATTAGTATTGCCAATACCAAACTTCTTAGGTTCATCCAACTTCCAACTCAACATAACTCCTTTACTGCTAACAGTATCCTTCCTTCCGCCTCTAATAAACAATACATCACCAGCTTGGCCATCCAAGTCCAAGGAATCGACTGTGACATCTATACCGTATCCTGGTTCCACTTGGAAGAGCCAACTCAGTTTGCAGTTGGAGGGATAAGGTAGTGTGGTGCCTGGATAGGCAAGGGTTCCTGAAATCCTTGTAGTAATGGATTTGGCAGTGACGGTGGAGTCCTCATCTCGGGATTGGGGACAGTCTGGAAGATTTTGGATGATGTCTTCTTCCCAGGATTTTGAAGATGGTTGGTTTGAAGTGTTGTCTTGGGGAAGGTCAGCAGTTTCGAGTGCTGGAAGAATAATTGTATAATTGTTTTGATTATAAATGGAATCAGTAAAGTCACTTCTAATCTCTAGCAGTTCTCAAGTGGGCTATTTTTCATTGGAACACATTTTTTATTGAAGTTGTTAGAAATCAAGGTGCAACTTGCCAATAGGCACACGTTTTTGTATGTGACATATCATTTGAAAGGTCTTGATGAGTACATTGCAAAAAAGTAAAAAAATTTAGTTTCAGTATCACTGAAGGACAAACACAGGGTTTAAGGATTTGTAAGAACAACATAAAAAGCGTAATATTGTTTGTTATTATTTTAATCTAATATTGTGATTGGTTTCAAACTTTACACAAGGGCAATATTCAATTTGGAATAGTAAATAAAGCAACAATTTTGCGTTTAACCCTTTCCACTCGCGAATTCCAATATTTATATAAATTTTACCGACGGAGCGGCGGCATTCGAGTTGAAAGGTTACAATCATTTGGTTTATAATACTTGAAAGGGCAACTTGCCAATAAGGAATTTCTAAAACACTTTTTTGCATGCGATGTATCATTTGAAAGGTCTTGAAGTATACATTACATGCACAGTATTAGTTTTAATTTTAATTATCATTGAAGGACAAAGAGAGGGTCCGGAGATTTTAAAAATTCTATAGCATTGAATTAAAATTTAAAAAAAATCAGATATGACGTAGTAGTATAGTAAGGAATTATCATAATATATATATATATATTATTATTATTATTATTATTATTATTATTATTATTATTATTATAACCTGTTATCCCTAGTGCACATATTGAAACTAAAATTAATTTTAACACTAACACCATTATAAATTGCAAATTATTTTAGCACATATTCCTTCATTAAAAATAATTCCAATTCAATACGAAATAATATTGCAATATTTTGTATTTTGGATTCTGATAAGGTATCAGCTTCAGATAAATATATATATATATATATATATATATATATAAAGATAAGAGAAAAATGTTATCAGATAACATAAAAATAGATTAGTGCCCTAATAAATTGATATTGTATATATATATATATATATATATATATATATATATAACTGCCTTGTGAAAACACCGTCGTAAGTTCAGGATAACCTGATATCATGCAGTAGCAATGTCCAGTTTCTGATTGATAATAAAGATAAAAAATGTTTGCAATGTGAAAAGCCTAGGGCAGGTCTGTGAGGTGAGTTAAACTCCAACTCGATTCAGGGAATAATAGTGTCAGAGATTTTCCGTTGCCATTTTACACCGCAGTGCCCGAAATGGATTTATTATTAATTGGAAACATATTTTTGATCTATATTGTCAAGTGAGAATGGACATTGCTACTGTATGATGTCAAATTATCCTGAGCATTTGATCTATATTACTGCTGCACAATATCAGGTTGTTCAGAGCTAGAGTTTGAACAAACGACCCTGTCCACATAAGGCAGTGCGCTTAACCTTTACGCCATGGAACACCTATCCAGTCTATATATTATTTTAAATAACTTAGAGGGCATCCATTAATCACGTGATCGATTTTTAAAGATTTTTTTTTACACCTCTCAATCTTGGTAATTCGTGGTAATATTCAAAATTACCACCCTCCCCTATTGAAAATGTTTAGATTTTTTTAAAAAATTCTGGTAAAAAATAAATACACGTGATATCTTACTATATACCTCCCTCTCCCGTGTGACATTTTGTGATGTTTTATCGAACCCCCGTTTTTCCTAAAACCCCCAAGTCATTATTGGACGCCCCCTTACTAGAATTACTGCTTCCTACAACAATTTGCGTATCCTGAAAATCTCGTTAAAAAGATGTTTGAAAACACCAATTTTGTATCTATCTTATCAACTGATTTCTGGTAAAAAAAAACGGCTCGGTTGATCGTCGCCCAAAACTAACCAACGTGAGTCTTCATCGAATTTCATCAAATTTCATCGAATTGCTTTCATCAATTTGATAATCGGTGCAGCCGTTTTCTGAGAAAAGGCCTAGGAAATTTTAAAAAATTTGTCATATACATTCACATACTGTTTCTCGCTTTTGGTGTCAAATGATTCAGAATAACTAGGAACGTCGAGTAAACAAAAAATTAGCAAACCATATATACAATTGTATAAAATTGCTAAAGAATTAATTTATGTATATATATATATATATATATATAATAAATTATGTCTACAATTATAATCTCCATGTCAATAAAGATCTTTTCTCAAATCCCGTTTATGATTTACAACAATTCCATGCACATATTAAAAGATAAAAAATAAACAAATAAACGTAATTATTATTATTGTTCTTAAATACTGCATTAAAACCAGTTGTAGCCAAAGACAGTATTAAGGTTCACATATTTAGTAATAAGGTATATATGTAATTTAACCCTTTCCGCTCAGGAATTGCAGAATTATTAAGTAATATGGCATCTGAGTGGAAAGGGCTAAAAAGCAATTCAGGGTGCTCTAGGTGCACTGGAATATAGAAATTTGAATATGTTATCACAGTATGTAGTACTATGACAACAAATATTAAAATTGATAAGTTTTCCCCTAAATTTTTAAGATATTTATAATTTCATAAAATAGTATATACTTATATCGTAAGTGTATGAATGGAAGTATCATGTTTAGGAAATATTTTTAGACCTCTCTGATTATTTTAGAAAGTTGCAATTTCAGTATTGCTCACTTAATGTCTTCTATGACAACAAATACTAAAATTGATATGTCTTCTAACAAAATCACGATATATTTAGATTTTTTTGAAAAAAGTACCTTATTTCCCCACGTACTTAGCAATTAGAATAATTAAAAAATTAAAGTAAACATTACTTATGAAAATGTTCTAGAAATCTATAATTTCAGTATGTTTCACTTTAATATGCCTTCTATAGAAAACAAATACTAAAATAGATAAGTTTTTTGCAAAATTTCTACATGTTAATGACTTTAAGACCAAAGTACCATCATAGTCAAACATTTGTTCATTTTGGAACAATATATATTTAGAGAGCTCTTCAGTTTAATTTACTCACACTAGAATGCTATAATTTTAGCACATTGTACTTCAATATGTCTACTAAGATAACAAATACTAACATCGACTACCTACTTTGTAAAATTTCTAGATATTAACAATCTTATATATATATATATATCAATAACAATATAACAATCTTATATATTAAGTACCTTAAAATTCAAACCTTTGTATATAAATCTAATGCATTATCAAAAAACTCCTCAGGATGTAGTATATAATCCTATAATTTTAGTTTACTATCATTTATTATATTTACTATAACAATAAATACCAAAATTAATTATTCACATACTAATTTAAGCCAAATTACTACATTTTGTCACTGATTTTCAATTCGACCCGGCCTTTGACCACCACTGTTTTTAACACGTGTTTTGCACAAAAAATGCGGAAAATTTGAGATTTTCTTAAGTAAACCTGATTTCAGGTATATATACGTCTAAAGATGAAATAAAAATTATTTTTTATTAATTTAAACAGTTAGAGAGTGTACATTGACAAATGGTGAAGATGAAAGTAAGTTTGTTTTTAATAAAAATAATAAAATAATTAATTTATAGGGAATAAATTAATAATTTTTATAGTTTATAATAAAATAGTTATTTAAAATACAAGTGCATGATTGGTTTGTATAAGATACTTATTATTAATTTTTTGTTGAAGAAACACTTTACTTAGCTTTTGCTTGTAATCACTTTTAGACAGGGTGCTAATGGAAAATTCTCTAACATAATTTGTTTACGACTTTTTTTCAAAATACCAGGGTGTGTTTCTTCACAAACTAGAATTAAAAAAGAGCATTTTAATGTGGATTCAAAAATTATTTCCACTGATTTTGAAAAGTCAACATACATATTTCCTAAACATATCAGCAAATAATATGACTATTATCATTTGTTTTTTATTTTAGATATATTTATACCTTGTTCTATCAATCCTGATAGTTTACACCAAAGCTGTACCACTCCGGAGTGATGAAGATGAAGTCATACAAGTTGCACAAGCAGTTGATGGCAAACCATCAATTCTATTGAGTCCTTACAAACAGTCCTTAAGTTTTCGTCATGGAGGACACAGCTCTCATGATGGAAGTCACCACAATGATCAAGATAATGATCATCATTCCGAAGATCAAGATGATGGACACAATTCTAATGATTCTGGTTTTGTAAGTTTCCATAGTAGCCACCATGATGATGGTAGCGGTGATCATGGATCTCATCATGAAGGAGGTCATGGTTCTAACGAACATTCTAACCATGATAGTCATCATTCTGAAAATCAAGAAAACCAACACAATGGACACAGTTCTCATGAACATGGTTCTGGACATGATGGAAATCATGACAATGGTAACCATGGTGAAAATCATGACAATGGCAACCATAATGAGCATAGTTCTCATGATGAAAGCCATGATAATGGTAATGGGCACAGTTTTCATAATGGAAATCATGACAATGGTAACCATAATGGACATAATTCTCATGATGGAAGTCACGACAATGGTAATGGAAACAGTTTTCATGATGGAAATCATGATAATGGTAACCATAATGGACATAATTCTCATGATGGAAGTCATGACAATGGTAACCATGGTTCTCATCATGAAGATGGTCATTCTCACAGCCATGAAAATCACCATTATGGTGATCACGGTCACGGTAGTCATCATTCTCATAATAATGGTCAAGGAAATCAAGGACATAATTCTCACTCAGGAGATCACTCACATCATAGCCAACAGCAAGTTGAAGAACCAACTACGGACTTAGGATTTGGTTTAGATTTAACAACAGGATTTCCTGATGTGAGTGGTTCAGGTAGCGATGTAACTCCAGATATACCAGTTGTGACAGAAATTCCTGATGCTGCGACAGGATTTCCTTCATTGCCTCCTAATATTCCTGATGTGACCAGTGATGGCTCAAATACTGAAATTGTTACGGATATTCCAGATGGAGGTTCAGATGGTTCAATTGTGGGAACATTGGTGCCTGAAATTCCAGATGTAATTACTGATAGTCCTAACATAGAAGCAGATGGTTCTGTTACAGAAGAAAATGCAAGTACTACAACAGCAACACCTAGTTCAACTTCTACAGCAGCACCTAGCACTTCATCAACTTCACCAAGCACTACATCTGCAGCAACAAGCACTTCGACAGCAGTTTCTAGCACTACATCTGCGGCACCAAGCACTACATCTGCAGCCCCGAGCACTACATCTGCAGCCCCTAGCACTACATCTGCAGCTCCAAGCTCTACATCCGCTGCATCAAGCCCTTCAACAGCAGAAACTAGCAGTACATCTGCTGTTCCAACCACTACATCTGCAGCCCCAAGCACTACATCCGCCGCATCAAGCACTACATCTGTAGCAACAAGTTCTTCGGCAGCAGCATCCAGCACTACATCAGTTGCTCCAAGCACTACATCTGCAGCATCAACCACTACATCTGTACATCCGCAGCACCAAGCACTACATCTGCAGCACCAACCACTACATCTGCAGCACCAACCACTACATCTGCAGCACCAACCACTACTTCTGCAGCACCAAGCACTACATCTGCAGCACCAAGCACTACATCTGCAGCACCAAGCACTACATCTGCAGCACCAAGCACTACATCTGCAGCACCAAGCACTACATCTGCAGCACCAAGCACTACATCTGCAGCACCAAGCACTACATCTGCAGT